TCTCTCTCTCTCTCTCTCTCTCTCTCTCTCTCTCTCTCTCTCTCTCTCTCTCTCTCTCTCTGTGGCTACCCTATCAGCTATGGTTGTCGTCTTCTTCCTTGTTAGGCCTAGCTATGGCGCCTCAGCGCCGGCTTCACCAACATCTGCCCAACCAGTCTCCTCATACAGTTGCACAATCATTCAGCAGTGCTTCCGCAACATCCAAATTGATAAGTGAGTTCTTTGAAGAACTGTAGCTGCAGATATAGCAGCCGAATCGATATCTTTGTCGGCTCCAGACCGGTAACGGTCTCCCAAGGCCGGCTGGCTGCACTTCTGCCAGTTCCGCAACCCGCCGACATTCCCAAGGTTCTGCTGCTAAATTTAGACTGGGACTTGGGCTTTTCGTGCGGGCCTACCTGACTTCTAGGACGTTGGACTTCCTATCGGCCTACCGGACCTTCAAATCGGCGTTTTGCCTGCGGGCCCAGCCGAGTTGGTTACTTTTGTGGAACCGGGACCATTAGACTCTGAGAGCGGGACATGTGTCAGTGACTGAGGCACGAAATCCTTCGAGCTAGGAGGACCTCACCACTGGTCCGTTTCAACCTCGGGTGGAACACATGTTGATCGTCCCTGACATGTTTCAGGTAACGCTTTTGGCACATCTTGAGGGTGCTAGGACTTCCACACAAAGCCTTGTGTGAAGGGGTGGGCATTGTCGACGGATGATTCGTGATGGAGAGTCGTATGATGGCTGTTGAACTAAAACCTTAAACCGTTGCGGTCATCGCTTGCCAAATTGGCTTGCAGACAGGGATCCTCAGCTGGTTTAGGTATATAGGGTACAGAGGCTGGCGTCCAGCAGTTGGTCTTCTCAGCAGTTTTTCTGCGGTGTTTTCTTAAGCCGAAAAGCCGGGCAATGGCCCCTGGTACCTCAATCCTTTCTGTATATTCATATGGGACACTGGGCCCGTTTACCGGCAAGCGCTGCTCCCCACGAATAGATCCGAGCTCTCTTCTTCTCCCCCCCCCCCCCCCCCCCACACACCACCACCAGAAAAAAAATGTATATGGGTCACAGGGTGGCAATGAAGTATGATGGGGTTTTGTTGAACTAAGACATCAAATACTCGGGACCGCTTGTCGAATTGTTCTGCAGATGTGGATCTTCAACTGGTTGAGGTAGATGGAGGACAGGCCGGTGATGAGGATGCTCTTCCGTTGGTCTATGATCCCGATCTGATTGCCGCTTATTGGTCGAAAAGACCCGGTGCAGTTGCAAAGAGGGTCGCGCAGCTGATGTCCATCGGAGGCCGCTTCCTTTTCCAACTTCTCATGGACATAGCCACCAACAAACTTAAGGAGGTAGGAGGGGTCATCCCAAACTTTGTTTGTCCTTGAAGGAGTTATTTCGATATTGAATTGCAGGCTGGGCTACCAGCCGCGCTGCCTGGCCCACTTTGGGCTGCCTGGGTGGGCCCATCGTGCAAAGTCCCGGACAATGTCCCCCCCAAAAGAAAAAATTGAAAGAAATCCGGAAAAAAACTAATGTTATGCAGAACAAAAGAACAAACAACGTTTGCCTGAGGGTGACTTCGGAATTCTTTACCAAATTTGAAAATAAAAATACAAAACTGTAAAATAAGATCATGTGGGGCCAGGGGTGACTGATCTGGGCCCGGTCCTGGGCCCGGTCCTGGGCCACTCTGGTAGCCTAGATTGCAGGTAAACATATTCTGGGTTTAAGTACCTTCGAGGCTTATTTTCTGCATGCCCAGTTTCCGGCACCCCCCTCCTGGACTACCATCTTCACCCGAGTAAACTGAAAGTTGCCCCAAATACGCTGTATCTAGACTGGTCGTAATCGCTGTATCTAGACTGACAGTTTCCCCCAATACGGTTATTATGACCGGGCATCCTATTTGGGTGAAGACGGTACTCAACCGTTGTGGGGTCGAGCCTGGGCCTGTTAGCTGTATGCAACTATGCATTGCATTCTCCCCAGATTTCCTTCTTTCTTTTCCTTTCTCTTTTTTTTTTTGCTAACTCAATGGCCCCTTCTATTCTGGGGGGCAGCAGTTCGGTTGCTTATCACCGGCAAGCATGTCTGTACATCCAAAGAAAGGGGAAGATCAGACGAGAGAAGGGGAACAGCCTTACCCTTGTGGTACCAGTCACCTGGCAAGGGGGGAGCTGTAATAGGGGGTCCCACCCCCCCCCCCCCCCAAATCGTGGCCTTTCTCCGAGGGTCACCCTGCTGGCCGGGAGGCTTCCGAGTAGCACCCAGCCCAGTCACGCAGCAGGGTGGCACTCGGGGAGGCGGGGCGCAGGGAGGGGCCTCCCCTAGTTCCTCAGGCCATTCAGCAGCATGTTTTTAAACATTTATTCTAGTTTCTTTCACTCATATAGCTGCATGTATCCGTGGTTTTTTTATTCTTTTTTTTTTTTTTTTTTGAAGGAAGGGGGGGGGGGTTGAAAAGGATGAGAGCAAAAGAAAACTGAAATGGTGACAATCAAAATCTTGTAACCCCCATAACCCCCTTTTCTGGGGGGCCCATCCACCCCTGGTAGGTGCAACCTGATCACGGCCCTCTATTAACGGGTGCTGTGCCGCTGGTACTGGTGGTTTAAGCAATTGAATTGGACACCTAGAAAATGGACTTTTTACTAGTTCTAGTCGTCACTACAGGTTGTTTCTTGTTCACTTATCTATACATTTATTTGCTTCTAGCCTTTCCTTCTTTTTTTTTTTTTTTCTTTTCTTTTTTAAGCCTTATCCCTACCTATTTAATTTTACATGGAGTTCCTTTTTCAGTTGCAGATGTTTGTAGTCTTCGATTAAGCTCTCGCACTGGACGCCCAACCCAGCATCCTCTCTCCCCACGCGCTCTGCGTGAAGCTGCCACGGCAGGAACACATGCCTTTGGCTTCTGGAACTCTGGTCTCCAAATAATACACAGAGCTTTATAAGTTAGAACTTAGGGCCCAGGACCCTGATTCATTCTCAATCTACAGAATATACTCCATACAAACACTGCAGCTACAAAATCCTCGATTATGTTTAAAAGTGGGGCAAAAACTATGATGTTTGTATGCAGGTGGCACTTGCACTGAAGGAGTGGGAATATACATTGCATTTGAAGTTGGCAAAGCATTCCTGTTTTGTGGGGACCACAATCCCCAGGATTGCAGGAGTTCACTGAAACTGTTCACTGTTGCCTTCGCTGAATGGCGGAATCAGTTATCATTGTCAGTACAACTAACAGACGTTGCATGTGTGTGAGTGTGTGTGTGTGTGTGTGTGTGTGTGTGTGTGTGTGTGTGTGTGTGTGTGTGTGTGTGTGTGTGTGTGTGTGTGCGTGCGTGCGTGTATGTTCGGGTTCGGTGTTCTTTCGCTGATTGACATGAAGAACAGAATGAGGTGCAGAGAGTCATTGAGCTTCGGAATATCGTAACAGAGCTGGGGCCTGCCTATATAAAACTTGGTCAGGCCTTATCAATACGGCCGGACTTGTTGTCACCACCTGCAATGATGGAGTTGCAAAAGCTTTGTGACAAGGTGAGGAGATCTGCATTTCTACAACCGCTCTCTTCTTCCCTCCAGTGTTGCCTCTGCCTTGACCTTCTATGCATGCCAAAAGCTCTCACATCCACTCCTCCCCACCCGTGCCTCTGACTAAATAATGTTATTACAGTTATTTCCTTCTTTAGGAAAGACAGGGAGGTATGAATGGACGGCCCCTGAACGTCCTCCCCCTGTAATTTTAACCATCCCTGGCCATCCTCGAAACCACCCTCACTCCATCTATGAAACATCCCACCTTTTTTTTTGTTTAGATTTGTCCAAACCCAGAGAGAGAGAGAGAGAGAGAGAGAGAGAGAGAGAGAGAGAGAGAGAGAGAGAGAGAGAGAGAGAGAGAGAGAGCATTCTTTGCTAGGGAGAACCAAAGCAACGTCTCCGAATGTCAATGGGAGCATACTCTTACTACCACCAACATATGTATCCATAGCCTTTCCTCCTACTTGGCGCTCAGCGCCCAGCCTACAATCACACAGCAACCTGTTGACGTCAGCGGCAACAACCGAAGTACATGAAGATGTCGACTCTGTAGACCATCGACAAGACCAGGTACGTGCCCTCACATCATCAACCTCATCTCTCTCTCTCTCTCTCCCTCATCTTTACTACCCACGTCGTCCTTCCCATACACGAAGACCGCCACCACCTCCACTGGCTATGTCCAGGCCAAGCCCGGCTATGGGGGCTGGCTATGGCGCTGCCCTCAGCAGCGCCCTATACCCTGCACATCCGCATGTGCACACAGCACCAGCGCTAGCGCAGCAAGCAGCCCGTAAGCGTTCGCTCCAGCAGCAATGCTGCCCACAAATTGCCCTCCCGCGAGCGTTTGCCCCAGCAGCCAGAAATTCTCTCTCCCTCTCTCTCCCTCTCTCTCCCGCTCGCGGGCTCATTGGAAAGTGGGAAATTCTCTCCAGCAGTGCTGCTGGAGAGAAAGTGCCCGAATGATGGCCTCGTAGCCCAGCCCTTTCCTATATGGAAAGTGGCGGGGCTCGTTGCCTCCCGCTTGCCCTCTGTGAGGCTGATTTCCAGTAGCTTCAGTCTAGGCCAAAGTGTCTGCGCCCCAGGTCTGTTCAGACAGTGTAATCCGAATACAAGACTCGAACACACAACCAACGGCTTGGCAAGTTAACACCTAACCATAAGGCTAAGTGGGCTGGGGTGAAAGTGAAGCCTCAAGATGAGCACTTCACCCCACCCCAGCACGGAGATCCTGCGACACGGTGTACCCAACCACACTCACCCCTACGCAGTGGCGTGGGACCGAATTGGTTAGGCATGCCCAACCCACCCAGGCACAAATGTGCGGTGCTCCCTCTTTCGACCACACTGCTGGAAGAGCCCTGAAGGCTCACACATATTTCCGATTCTAACGAGCAAAGCGGATGTAACCAACCTGTGCGTGGCAACTGTCTCCCGCCCACCAAGATTTGCAAAACTTGATGAACTCAGGGCACATTGAGATTCAGGGGGCCTGCCTTCACTTAGGGCGGGCACGCGCCTGCTGCAGGGCCTTATGCCGAGGGGTAAGCCCTTGCATAGCATAACGCAACTCAGACAATAAAGTAAGCAAAAGATCCAGAACGGGACGGAGCATGGGAGCACAGGAATGGAAAATTATTGCCCTGGTCTCATCTGCGGCACTCAATGTTGAGCTGGCGGGCAAATCTTTCAAAATCTTTTGGACGCAGGAGTGAGAACGTACCTGATGTGGGCCCATCTGGTTCTACGTATCTGATGTGGGCCCATCTGGTTCTATTACTCTATCGGTTTGCCGTTCCCGGAATCAGGAGGCTGTCTGGCTAAACTACTGTCTGCCCATGAACACAATGCAGCCGAGTCATGACTGTATGGGACTGAAAAGATGGCTTGTATACATTCATAATTGTGTTCATTCTATCCGGGGAAAGATGGTAGCTGTGCGGCAGTCAATGGAGTCACTGTGGGGGGAAGCGGTTCAGTGAAGCATTCTTTTTCCTTTTTTTTTCTTTTTCTTTTTGCTTTATGAAGCTGTTTAACCTATGTCTACTTAAAAAA